CCAGGACTTGTCTTAGCGTGGCCAATAAACATGCTTTACTCTATCTAGATATATCTGATAATACTTTTAAAAATAATTTGAATTCATTTCTCTATTTTTCAGGGTGATGGTGCCATTCAAAAAGGTATGCCTCATAAATTCTATCATGGAAAAACAGGACGTGTTTTCAATGTGACTCCACATGCTGTTGGTGTGATAGTCAATAAGCAACTGGGGTTTGTACACTTTTAATATAATCCTATTTTCGGCATTGCTTTGCGATGGTTGACGTTTTGTTTCCTCTGAACTTAATTTATTTTCATATAGAAAATTTTACAAAAGAGAGTTATTTTACAAATTATTGGCTAGAAAACTGAAAACTAAATTTGGCTGATAAATGATCTGAAAATGTTGTTTGCCCCGTTTGTAAAAAAAAATTTAAAAAAATACTAGATTTTGCATTACGGTAGTATTTTTTGAGACCATATCGATGCATCATATTTCTTGGATCATTCCAAAGCTAATGACCTTATGGAGAGAATTCTTTAAAAAAAAAAAGTGGACTGTTACACACATTTCATTGAACATCCCACAATTTTTATTCTTTTTTTTTTTTGAAATATTGTGACATTTTCCTAGCAGACTTATGTTTTGTGAGCAGTAAACTCATATCATGACATTAAAAAATTATTGCAAACAATTTATTGCTCAGCTATTTACATAAATTATTATTCATACTTATAGTTAAAAATTAACATGATTAGTTCCAAAATAATATTGAAATAGGAAACTTTTATTTCCATAAGTTTTTAAAGTGTTGGTGTTGTATGTGGGTTAATTACCTAATAAAAGTTCATTTTGTATGTAATTGTTTTAAAACTGTTGACATCAAGATTACAAAACAATTTTGCATTTTTTTTTCTTCTCAAGGAACCGCATCATTCCTAAGAAAATTAATGTCAGAATTGAGCACATTAAACACAGCAATTGTCGCTTGGATTTTTTGAAACGTGTTAAAAGAAATGAAGAACTCAAAAGAGAAGCTAAGGAAAAAGGCATCAAGGCAAACACCAAAAGAGTGGTAGGTTGTTTTTTTGTTTCTTACTATATATGAAGATAACAGGTTTAAAGCACACCATTTAATATCTAATTTTCTTTTGGCAACTGAGTTGGGTGTGAGTGTACAATGAAAAAGTAGAATATTTGTGGCAATGTCTTTGATTCCAACAATCAATAAGTGCACTATTTCACATGACTGCTAAAAATAAATAGCTAAACAGATTTTCAAGTATGTTGAATGGGTTATTTTTTTAAGTCAACTGTGATCAGAGATAATTTGTATTTAGTATGAAGACCTTAAGGTTTCTATAAAAAAAAAATACTGGCTTAGTGTGGCTATTCTTAACCCACGAAGCGTCTTAAGAAACTTTCTGTGGCGTTCGGGGAGTTTTAGCATTTTTTATGCATGTTAGAAAATGGTCTTAAAATGCCATAAAATGAAGGTTGATATCCATGTTTTATATATATTCTGAAAGGTAATTGGACAGCGAACACTAGATCATATATTGAACACCTGAATTTAATCAGTTGACCCTGACCTAATTAGTATGATTGATTTTTTTTATCAACAAAAAAGCTTGTTTGCTGACCTCTGTGAGAAACATTTTTAGAGCTATAACAAAAGTTTTGATGTAATTGGATAGCCCATTCATTTTCCTTTATGAATATATATAATTTTGTTAAAAATGGACTGTTAGATTTGAAAAAAAAAAAATTTGAGTGAATTGGTTACCCTTTTAATACAAGTAACAGTGAAGGAAAAAAAAATAGATAAAATCGTGTTTTTTTTGTTCAGTTAAGTTAAAAGCATTTAAAAATTGAAGAAATAGAATACTTAATGCATAAAGAAATCAATATTATCATTAATATGCTTCAATCTTTCTTAAAATGTCTTAAATTTCACTAAATTTTGGCTAGGTCTAGGTGCAGATCCAGGCCGGTGTCTAGTCTAGATCTAGACTTAAGATCTACAGACATAAATCATCGGCCACTTAATCAATACATCTAGATCTAATATATAAAATATTCTCATTATTCCTAGATCTAAATCTAATTGTAATATTAAAAAAGAACAACTAAAAGTATTTGAAACTTTATGTTTAATAACATCTCATGGGCCAGGGCTAGCATCGGATATTGCAAGAAAAATTCGCCGGTGAATAATCAGCATGTAAACACAAAAACAGATGGGGAAATGGGCTATTTTTGGATCTGACAGGAAGAAGAATGTCTAATAGATCTGAAGTTTAAAAATTGTCGCTTTAAAACATGGATTGGAATAGAAAATCAGCAATCTAAAGTCAGCAGATTATATCCGCCAGGAATAATCGGCCGGGACGCCACAGAAACGAAATGTCGGCCGATATAATCGGCTGACGACACTTCATGGTTTAATTACCTAATAAAAGTTCATTTTATTTATTCTAGATAGATATAAATAAAAAATTAAAGAATTTTAACAATTAATGATATACTTCATCCATTGTAGTTTGATGATTACGGTGAGTACTTTCGCCATCCCGGGGGGGTGTGTGCTCTGTATTTGGGTTTTGTGCCTCTGTCAATTAGCTAGAACATCAACTAGGATATTATAAGTCTTAGTATGATTATCAACAGGAAGTGGTTAATAGGACAAAATAATTTTCATGTATCCTGTGATACACATCTAGGGAAGGCAATATCAATTTATGTTAAATTAATAAAATTTTAGTTTATTGCTGTAGCTTTAATTCATTTTAACTACAGATTTATCATTTAGAGCTAGTTATTTAGTGATGTATTTGTCTCTAGAGTATTAGAGACTTTGAAAAGTTTTGACTGATTTTACAGTTTCCTACCATTCTGACAGTACCATTTCAGACTTTGCATTCTACAGGGCAGATGATGTAAAGATCATCTGTTTCTGTAGCATAAAGTTAACAAGGGTGTCATGTGACCAGCACAATGGCCAACTGTCTTTATAGCCCATACCTATGTCAGGAACACATTAGAGCTGGTGAGCTTGGGGTATCCTAAAAATCCCAGTCTTCACCTAGATTCAAACTCAAGAACTAGAGCATGTTTCAGGGTGCCTTATAAATACAATTCAAATCTAAAATTGTTTAAAATATTACTTGTGTGTACACTGCCTATCTGTATTTCAGTCATTGTAGTTTGTTTTTTTATCTTGATGAAATGGTCAATACAATTACTTATTGTCGGACCTGGATTGGTACTGAAAACATTTGATTAAAGATAAGAGGAAAATATTTGTACTATTTATGGGTGTGTTTGAATTATTAATACTAGATATTAATTTACTTTTATTTTTTTCATTTCAGCCTACTCAGCCACGAAAAGCTCATTTTGTTAGCACTAAACTTGTAAAGCCAGAGTTTCTGACACCTATTCCATATGAAATTCTTGCTTAAATAAACACACACGTTTCTTTCATCTGGTGTACGAGTTATTAAAACTTACTTGTTACTGACTTTTGTTAACAAAAATAATAGCCATTTTGTAGGTCTATAAAATAGCCACAATATATGCCCAGTTTATAAATCCCTAGAAAGACATTTTTAAAATAATACAATCCAGTACCTCTGATTATTTAGGGTAAATTCCTTTTAAGATTTCAACCTCTCACACAGTCTTGTGTTAATACTTGTAGTACACTTTTTTAAAGTGTAAATAACTTTTAGTTACCACTTGACCTAGACTTGGTGCTGCAGAATCTTGACTCCATGATCTCAATGTCACACACAAACACTCTAGGTATTTGTAGAGGAGAAATTGGTGCTGATACAAGACAGCTAATTCATCTGTGTGTATTATCAATCCTCTTTTTTTTTTTAAATTGCACCAAAAACCTATGAAATTTTCTTTTCAATATATCCAAATTTTGAATATCAGACAATATTTAAAGGGAAAAAAAAGACCATGAAATCCAGACCATAATATAAATCTGAGATGCTGGTAATAATTGGCTATAACCATTTTAACTGAAAAACTGGCTTGTGAGTATCCATTGGTAATGAATCCTAACTAGATGAACCTGATCCTTAGTACCAAATGGCTGCAAATAAGTTTTATATGCCTATGTCACCACATGGTTTGCATTTAAAAAAACAACATGGAAGTGTCCAAAGTGTAACAGCGCTAATTTAAGGCAGTTATTTGTGGATAAGCAGAGTAATGCCTTGTGTATGTTCTTGGAATGAACCATGTCCCTACTCGAAATTGTGCATTGAATTTATGGCATGTTCATGTTAATCATATTCTTAGCCTGCATTGTTCCCTAGAAATGGTTCCCTTGGCTTCTTAACCCAATATAACAGGTAACTAATTGGGCCTTGGCCCCTAACATATTAATATTTTTACCTTTCTAATGTCATGTGGTGCTAGCATTATTATAATCACAATAAATTCTCCAAAAAAAAAAGTTAAATCTATTATAGAGAAATTTTCTTATCTTAACTCGTATGCCTGTTGTAATCAGATCTGATTCATATCACAAAATTATTATACCTGTATCGGAAAGAAAAACATCAATATGAAACAATTTAAAGTTATGGTGTCATACATGAGGACACCTTCCAATATCCAAGAAATATACGTCAGGAAACAGCTAAAAGTCTGGGCATGGAGACCTAAAGCACAGGGTAGATCAGAATGGAGATGTGCTGAAGCAGGCCAGGGCCCTCCACTGGGATGGATGGTTTATGATAAATTGGTACCGGTACTATTATAGTCTACTATGTTAGGCTTACTGCTTTAATTTTAGTACATTGGCTAATCTTAGATTATCAACACAACTCATGATAATATCTAATTGTCTTTTATAACATTATTTATTAACTTAAAAAAAAGGGTGAAAGTATAATTGAGTATTGTTCCAACTCCACATTTTAATGACATACTGCTATACATAGTTTGACAATTTAGTTCTGTTTAAGAACCAGTAGCCTACAGTACTACATCAGTTCAGTATTGGTTATACTGTTCAACAACTTGCATGTTCAAACGATGGTATATACACTTAGTATGATATACATACAAACAAAACATCCAATAAATTAAAAATATAATACTGATAAATTAATGTCAAATCACAATTCAAGGGTCATAAAGCAGAACATCATTGTATAATCTACAGATAGACAAATAGCTTCATTATAAACAGAAGGATGGGACTACTGATTGCTAGTTTTGGTGACAAAGATCTAGTCCTACAGGCTTTTATCTTGTTGACAGTTTGGATTTCGGTAGTGAAATTAATGTCTTAGTTGACAGATTTTGATAGAGAAATTTAACCAAAACTCTCGTGAGTGAAAAGAAAAGCAAATTTGGATCTAAAATGCTGTTTTGGCAATTGGTTGTTGTGCTGGCCACACAACACCCTCGTTAACTGTGGGCCACAGAAACGGATTACTTTTACATCATCTGCCCTATAGACCACATGGTCAGAAAGGGGAACTACTTAATAGATATTACTGAATTTAAACTTCTGATTAAATTGATTTTTGGGTGTTTAACAAAAGCACATGATTGTTGTTTTGACTAGTTTTTAAGTCTTATTTAGTTGTCATTGAAATATGATTTAAGCTAAAGATTTTTTTTTTAAATACAGAATATTACATGTTTATTTGGTTAGGTTTGGACAACATTAAATAGGCCTAATGTTTTTATACCATGATGTTTTAGCATATTTTCTATATTGACAGCTTGAGAATTCCATAAAATCAATTTATATATTTCTTAATAATTGTTCTTTTTTTAAGAAAATGTTGGATATAAGTTGGAAATGGATGACATGAATTAGTCACAAATGTTCTCTAGTTCAGCAAGGCTTGATGTATGAGCGACGGCTGTGTGGTAAAGTACTTGGGTTCCTAACCAGAGGTCCTGTGATTGAATCCTGTTCAAGACTGGGATTTTTAAGTCCACCCAGCTCTAATGGGTACCTGACAATAGTTGGGGAAAAGTAAAGGCGGTTGGTTGTTGTGCTGGCCACACAACACCCTCATTAACTGCAGGCCACAGAAACGCATTACCTTTACATCATCTGCCCTACAGACCACATTGTCAGAAAGGGAAACTACTTAATAGATATTACTGACTTAAACTTATGATTAAATTGATTGTTGGGTGTTCAACAAACTGATCCTAGTGAGATAAACAAGTTTGAAACAATGTATTTTTTGAAAATCATTTCTGCAAATCACTTGACAGAATACATGGAGAGATCTACATAACATTAGTTAAAACTCACAACACCAAAAAAAAATTAATTCTAGTCACATTCTAAGAAATTTCTGTCATCTAGAAACACTTAATAATACTAACGCTTTTTTTGATGATGCTCAGATAATCTAGATCTCATTCCATTATGTAACTTTTATTATTGTTCACACAGGCAAGTACAAGTAAAAATTGTCTAGTTTATAGCCAGGAATTAACTTGACACATTTTAATCATTCCAAGCAACAGAAGTGCGAGGACTAGAATGGCTAAATGGCAGGGGAAAAGTGGTAATAACATTTAGCTCACTTCACAATAGTGTCATAAAAAACTAATGTAAACCAACAAAAAAATGTAATACACAACACAAACATGCACATCTGATCTATTAATAGCTATACAGAAAGAAATAATAACAATAAAGAAAGTAATAATAACAATAGAGAAAGTAACAACCCCAAAAAAAAAAAGAAAAACACATACATACATTCGCTTGTACACCACATGTAATGAAAAAAAATATAGGTACCGGTACAGATAAAAGAAATATTATGTGCAATGTAATTTAATAATAAAACTGCACTACTTCATAGAAATAAATTTTAAAATATACGGGTTATACTGATGTTCTACTGACCAGCATTCCATATTTTGAAGCACTCAAATTACAATATATTTATATAGCAATATACATGTCTCGTTAGATACACTCCTATGGGTAAGAGATGCTGCATTCATATCAGAACATGATTTGAAAATATTGATGTAAGACACTTTCACTTCATAAATTTAGTGATTAAACAAACACAAAAAAAAAAAAAAAAAGATTTAAAGAACTAATTTTAAACAGTATCAATGGAAAGATGTAACAGCTCTTGTGTTTAATGGCAGCCAGATGCTTGACTTTTTAGTCATGTTTTAAACAAGTCAGGTGACAATCCTGTATAGATTCAAAATTGTTATGGTTTCCAAGGCAGCCACCATAGATAAAAGGGTAACATTCAAATGTGGCCTTATTGAAGTAGAAGCGCTTGAAGGAGGCTCGACATGGTCCAGGGTCTGGCAGGTGAAGACATTGGTCAGCTATCTGGTCATAGTCTTCTTCTTGTCCTTGGTTCTCTAGAGGGAGAAAATAGGTTGTGAGAATCAGAACAAACTGAGAATTATGAAGAAGTCTGGATACAACTATAGATCTACTAATTGTTTTGTAAATGTTTTATATTATGACTGTGTATGTTCATCTATCTCTAATTCTTCCCATTTAAGAACTATAAGCTTCAAGTCCCTTAGATTGTGAGTAGAAGCACTTGTTAAACAAATGTTGTTACCAAATTGGCTATGACACAGAAACAAACACTGCGCAAGTGTATTGTTTGAATATTTTTTAAAAATCCACTGCCCTACTCCACGTCCTTTCCATTTAGATTCAAATCTTCAAAATTGTAAAAAGTTTAGTTTCTCTTAACTCATCCGAATCTCTTTATGTGTTATGTTCGATGAATGAAAAGAAAATTGGGGACTATTTTTTCCATTATTGTTGAGGACTGGTGTCATTGCTAGTCATACGTACCAGTAGGGGCCTATCTATCTTACTTTATCAAGTCATAAAATGTTTTCAGTTGTTTGAATTTTACCTTCTTCTTCAGACTCATGTTCCACCTTGCTTTGGTGACGTGTCCAGTAAGCATGGGCTTTGGGGCCAATAAAACTTGGATTACTGTTTTCCATTGGCCTGTTGTCTGGGTGTTTAAGTAATGTTCCTTGATCCATTGTTTTACCTTCATTCATGTTGGTCTCATCATTAAAATAAGTTCCACCTTCTGAAAATTAATTTTCAGTCAGAAAAAAAAAAAAATCTGATTATGTCAATGCTTCAAATAGCTAGCTTACAATTTAAAAGTCTAGGGGTGGAACTTTCATGAATATACAGTACACTGGTACTGTGGCTCATAGAGCCTCTTAGCCATGTGATGACTCTTGTCCATTAAAGGAAAGATTTTACCCAGAGGCCAGGAAAAATTAAGAGATTGGCTTTTCAATCACTGCATGAAGTAGTGAAGTTACATAAGTTTGACTAGAGTAACAACTTTAGTAAAATCATTAAATTTAGAAAGCCTTCAAGAGAGAGGGCTCAAAAGTAAAGTAGTAGGCCTAATTATAAGCCTACATAAAACACTGAACCATAATCTTCAAATACAAAAACAAAATCTAATAAAATAGGCCTATTCAGAAAGACACAAAGATAAAGGCACATTCCTCGTTCCATATGCTAGGACAAATTTATACAAATGCTCCTTCTTCCCTAGTGCTATACAGCATGAAATGGGTTGCCTGAATCAGCCAGGAAAACCACTGACTTAACATGCGCATGACTAGATACATGACGCGTAGGACGTAATCATCTTCTTTTTTGAAGATACGATTTATTCCCTCTGTCAGAAGGCCTCTCATAAACTAGATGGCCATGACCCGTTGTTGTGAGACAGTTTCTTTAGCCCAACCCTCTCTTCCCCTCTTTTCACATTTGATATAGTTAAATCACTCAGAGACTAAATGACGTCACGCTCTAGGGGGGGGGGGGGGGTTGAGAAAATGTGACAAGGGGTAAAGGGGGGGGGGGGGGGTAGCGATTTTGTGACGTCACAAATTTAAAATTCAGAAAAAAAAAACAACAAATAAAATATTTTTTTAATCTTCAAAAAATCTTCGAAAAATAACATTTTTTTAGGTACTCATTTCAACATAAACTTCTGAGGTAGTTTTATTCTCAAATAAAAAGCATTGAAAATATAGAGATATTTCAGTCTTGTTTGAGGAGTTCAACTGAAAGCATCATGTTGGCACTGCCGACTGAGAATTTCACGTTGTTCTTCTCAAAAATGCTAATCTTAAATGTCCGGAAAAATAACGGCGTCAACGTGTTTTTGAAAATTCTAATCTCTAACCTGAAAACAACATCAAATGGAGAAAAAAGTTAAAGTCAATTTATTTATCGAAAGATCAGCTGTGACATCGCCTAAAGGACTTTAATTCATAAAGAACATTCATCAACACACAGATGTTAACGAGTGAAACATCCTCATGAACTTATTTCTCGCTATATTTCTGTAACGAATTTTTCCGATTTGAATTATTCTGCTCATTTCGCTTCATTTTGCCGAGATCGCCTAAATTCTCGCGCAAATCGCTCTTTCTATCGTGGACTTTCGTCATTTTTCATCGCTCGAAAATTGTTATAATTTTCACGAATCCTCCTCAATTTGTGACGTGACGCAGGGGGGGGGGGGGGGGTCTGAGAATTTGTGATAGGCCTACTTTGTGACATGGAGGGAGGGGGGTCAAAAATGGTCATTTTTGCGTAACGTCATTTACGAAAGACCCCTATTCAGGAAAAAATAAAATAAAGTAGCAATAATACACTGCAGGCCTACCATAATTTGCAAAACAAAACCAAAACCTAATAAATACACAGAAAGACACAAAGATAAATAAGACACTTTTTCCAAGGAATAATTCGTACAAATATAGGCCTATGCTCCTTTTCCCTTAGTTCCATTTTAGAACACGGATCGGGTTGCCAAAGCACGTAGGCTTATGCTAGCTAATTATCTTTTCTTTCTTTTTTTGAAGTAACATCTGAGAAAATAGTTTACAAAATCAAACACACTGGACTTTATTATCTTCGTGGGCTATAGGTTATCAACGTACTTTCTTCTTACTCTAGTATCCCAGTGGGCTATAACTTTCTAAGTCTCTCTCTCTCTCTCTCCTTCCTCTCTGATACCTGTACCAGCGTTATATCTTATCTTCTACGATATCTTATCTTCTATGATATCTTACAGGGGCTGACTGGCTATATGGGCATTTGGGCAAATGCCCGGTGGGCCGGTACTCAAATGGGCCTAAAGGGTCTCATGAATGCCACTAAGGCAAGCATAAAATTGTTTAAGGTCTTAAAATATTCTCTTATATAAAGGGCTATATGAACGTCAAGTTAAATACATCTTTTACAGACTACAGTGTAATACTTTAATCTTACACATTTTCAAAAATAATGTAATAGCCTACATCCGTAGACAGTGCTATTAGTAGGCTTCATCCTTTCGGGCCAACAAACGTAACGATTCAAAAGCAACATAAGTCCTATATTTCTTT